TCATTTTCTAGGGCCAGCGTCCTGAGTGAGAGTAAAAGCTCCTAAGGATCACAGGATTAAGAACTACGAAAAATTATCATTGAATCTCTCTCAGGTAACCATCACCTTGTGGATGCTAAGAAATTATTTGTGAACAAATACTGAAAGAACTTCACCTGCATAATCTAAAATACAGAAGTAAAAAAAGCCCAGCATTGTAGCTTATAACCTCTGAAGTTGCTCTATTGGAATACTGCTTCCATTTATTTCCAGGTTTACCTTGGGATTCAGGTCTCTTTGTGCTTCATTCCCTTGTCTCCTACCAAAAAAAGATAAAGGCATTTACTTCATAGGATTGTTGAGAGTATTAACATGAGATGAAATGTGTAAAGGGTTTAGCACTGCAACTAGCACATTAGCACATAACTGAGCTAATAACTGATTGCTACTAAAATGTTCAGGCTCCCAAAGAGTCAGTGGCTATGTTATGCAGGAGAAGCTACTGTAAAACAAGGGCACTGTACTAACTGCACAGGCAGTCCTGACTTGGCAGGCAATCACAGGTCCAAAAATTATAAGATTCTTTGGTATTTAACCAGTTGTGTATTTAAATATCTAACTGCTACCTAGTATCAATCAATATAGAACAATCAACTCCAACATCTAAATCAAAGAAAAGCAGTCACAAGGCAACAAAAGTGAAAAAAAAAACCCACAAAACACCAAATGGGACTTAATTAAACTTAAAAGCTTTTGTACATGACTGCCTGGTGGTACAGTGGATAAGAATTCGCCTGCCAGTGCTGGAGATATGGGTTCAATCTCTGGTCCTGGAAGATTCCACAGCCCGAGGAGCAACTAAGCCCATGTGCCACAACTTCTGAGCCCAGGCCCTAGAGACAGCAAGCACCTACTGAGCCTGCGTGTTGCAACTACTGAACCCCGTGTGCCTAGAGCCTGTGCTTCGCAATAAAAGAAGCCACCACAGTTAGATTTCCACACACCACAAGGAAGAATATCCCCTGCTGTCTGGAACTAGAGAAAGCACATCCACAGCAACAAAGATCGAATGCAACCAAAAAAATTAAAATTAAAAGTATTTTAATTAAAAAAAAAAAGCTTTTGCACCACAAAGGAAATCAACACTCTACTGAATGGGAGAAAATATTTGGAAATTATATGCCAATATGGGGTTAATATTCAAAATATATAAACAGCTCATACAACTCAGTATTTTTTTTAAAAAGGAACCCAACTGAAAAATGGGCAGAAGACTTGACTAAACATTCTTTCAAAAAAGACAAACAAATGATCAACAAGCACAAGAAAAGATGTTCAACATCGTAGGGGCCTCCTGGTGTCTCAGAGGGTAAAGAATCTGCCTGCAATGCAGGAAACCTGGGTTCAATCCCTGGGTCAGAAAGATCCCCTGAAGAAGGAAATAGCAACCCACTCCAGTATTCTTGTCCAGAGAATTCCATGGACAGAGGAGCCTGGTAGGCTACAGTCCATGAGATCACAAAGAGTCAGACACAAATGAGTGACTAATCATCACAGAAAGGCACACTAATCATCAGAGATACGCCAACCAAAACCACGAGCTATCATCCCATACCTGTCAGAAAGCTAGCAGTAAAAAGAACACAAATAACATTCACAAAAATATTGGTGAGAAGGTAAACTGGTATAGCCACTGTCGAAAACACCATGGAAGATTCCAAAAAATGAAAAAATAGAACTACTGTATGAGCCAGCAATTCCATTCCTCAGTATATATCTGAAAAAACTGAAAACACTAACTCCAAAAGACATATGCACCCCAATGTTTATAGTAGCATTATTTACAACAGTCAAGATATGGAAGCAACCTAAGTGTCCATCAACAGATAAATGGATTAAGAAAAGGTGGTATATATACACAATGGAATCATACTCAGCCATAGGAAGAATGAAATTCCCTCATTTGCAACAATATGGATGGATCCAGAGAATATCATGCTAAGTGAAATTAGTTAGAGAAAGATAAATACTATATGTTATCACTTATATGAGGGACTCTAAAAAATAAAACTGGTGAATGAAATAATAAAAAAGAAACAGACTCATAAATATAGGAGGGAAAAAAAACTAGTGGCTACCAGTTCAGAGAGGGAAACGGGCTGGGAAGAGAGGCAAGACAGGGGTGTTGCTGTTCAGTCACTCAGTTGCATTCGACTCTTTGTAACCCCATGGACTGCAGTGTGCCAGGCTTCCCTGTCCATCACCAACTCCCAGAGCTTGCTCAAACTCAGGTCCATCCAGTCGGTGATGCCATCCTACCAACTCGTCCGTTGTTGTTCTCTTCTCCTGCTTCCAATCTTTAAGGGACTTAAAAAGCTACATGGATTATGTTATACATACACTGAAGAATAGCAAGGAGAGATAAGAAAGCCTTCCTCAGTGATCAATTCAAAGAAATAGAGAAAAACAATAGAGTGGGAAAGACTAGAGATCTCTTCAAGAAACTTAGAGATAGATACCAAGGGAACATTTCATGCAAAGATGGCCACAATAAAGGACAGAAACAGTATGGAACTAACAGAAGCAGAAGATATAAAGAAGAGGTGGCAAAAATACACATAAGAACTACACACAAAAAAAATCTTCATGATCCAGATAACCACTATGGTGTGATCACTCACCTAGAGCCAGACATTCTGAAATGCAAAGTCAAATGGGCCTTAGGAAGCATCATTATGAACAAAGTAGTGGAGGTGATGGAATTCCAGTTGAGCTATTTCTTTCCTTTTTTTTTTTCATTTATTTTTATTAGTTGGAGGCTAATTACAATATTGTAGTGGTTTTTGCCATACATTGACATGAATCAGCCATGGATTTACATGTGTTCCCCATCCTGATCCCCCCTCCCACCTCCCTCTCCATCCCATCCCTCTGGGTCTTCCCAGTGCACCAGTCCTGAGCAACAGATGTATAGAACAGACTTTTGGACTCTGTGGGAGAAGGCAAGGGTGGGATGATCTAAGAGACTAGCACTGAAACATGTATATTATCAAGTGTGAAACAGATCACCAGCCCAGGTTGGATGCATGAGACAAGTGCTCAGGGCAGTTGAGCTATTTCAAATCCTAAAAGATGATGCTGTGAAAGTGCTGTGCTCAATATTTCAGCAAATTTGGAAAACTCAGCAATGGCCACAGGACTGGAAAAGGTCAGTTTTCATTCCAATCCCAAAGAAGGGCAATGCCAAAGAATGTCTAAACTACTGCACAATGGCACTCATCTCACACACTAGTAATGTGCAAAATTCTCTAAGCCAGGCTTCAACAGTACGTGAACCATGAACTTTCAAATGTTCAAGCTGGATTTAGAAAAGGCAGAGGAACCAGAGTTCAAATTGCCAACATCTGGTGGATCACTGAAAAAGCAAGAGAGGTCCGGAAAAACTTCTGCTTTATTGATTACACCAAAGCCTTTGACTGTGTGGATCACACAAATTGTGGAAAATTCTTAAAGAGATGGGAATACCAGACCACCTGACCTACCTCCTGAGAAATCTGTATGCAGGTCAAGTAACAACAGAGAATCAGACATGGTACAACAGGCTGGTTCCAAATCGGGAAAAGAGTATGTCAAGGCTGTATATCGTCACCCTTCTTATTTTACTTATGTGCAGACTGCATTATATGAAATGCTGTACTGAAAGAAGCACAAGCTGGAATCAAGATTGCCGGGTGAAATATCAATAACCTCAGATATGCAGATGACACCAAATTTATGGCAGAAAGCAAAGAACTAAAGAGCCTCTTGATGAAAGTGAAAGACCAGAGTGAAAATGTCGGCTTAAAACTCAACATTCAGAAAACTAAGATCATGGCATCTGGTCCCATCACTTCATGGCAAATAGACAGGGAAACAATGGAAAGAGTGACAAAACTTTATTCTGGGGGGGCTCCAAAATCACTGTAGACGGTGACAGCAGCCATGAAATTAAAAGATGCTTGTTTCTTGGAAGAAAAGTTATTACCAACCTAGACAGCATATTAAAAGGTAAAGACATTACTTTGCCAACAAAGGTCCCTCTCTTCAAAGCTATGGTGTTTCCAGTAGTCATGTATGGATGTGAGAGTGGACTATAAAGAAAGCTGAGTGCGGAAGAATTGATGCTTTTTAATTGTGGTGTTGGCAAAGACTCTAGCGAGTCCCATGGACTCCCTGATGCCGGGAGAGATTGAAGAAGGAAGGAGAAGGGGACGACAGAAGATGAGATGGTTGGATAGCTTCACCGACTCAATGGGACTGAGTTTGAGTAAACTCCGGGAGTTGGTGATGGACAGGGAGGCCTGGCGTGCTGCACTCCATAGGGTCCCAAATGTCGGACACGACTGAGCGACTGAACTGTACTGCCAAATCTCTTTTCCGACTCGCTTTCAAACGAATAAAACGGAATAAAATACAGGTCTCTGCTCAGTCGTGTCCGACTCTGCGACCCCATGGACTGTAACCCACCAGGCTCCTCTGTCCATGGATTTTCTCCAAGTAAGAATACTGGATTGGGTCGCCATTTCCTTCTCTAAAAATACAGGTCTAACGCCGGCAAAAACCCCACCACCCGGGAGTGACACTTCCAACTGCAGTTAACAGAGGAGTCCTCAGGTCCGAGGAGTGGTTAGTGGTGGCATGAGGTGTCCCGACAGCAGCCTTTACAATCGCAGGTGGGCCTTTCTGCCTCCCCGGAGCTCGCTAGGCGCGCCCCCGCCGCAAAAGACCCCGGACCACAAGCCCCGGCCAGCGTCCAGCTGCTCGGCGCTGGCCCCCTCACCCGGCGCGCGGCGGGCAGCTTGCGACGTCACGGCAGCGCCGCGCCTCCAGGAAGGACCCCTTCCCCGGCTCCTCCTCCCGGCGCCGGCGCCGCTTTCTGGAAGCTTCGTGAAGGCGGTGGGCGCTTACGGTTGGTCCCTGGTCAGCTGCAATCCGCGTCCATCCGTCCTTCCCAAGCTCACGCAGACCCATCTACGGTTGCCATGCCCGAGAACGTAGCCCCCCGGACCGGGCCGCCCGCCGGGGCTGTCGGGGCTGCCGGGGCTGCCGGGGCTGCCGGCGGCCGCGGGAAGAGCGCCTATCAGGACCGCGATAAGCCGGCCCAGATCCGCTTCAGCAACATCTCCGCAGCGAAAGGTATATCTCCCCGGCCTGAGCCGCGGCTCTCCGGGCCAGACTGTGCACTCTCACCCCCAGCCTTGGTTGGGCTGTTCGTTCAGGTGATCCGCTTTGGGCCTCTCATAGAATAAGCTCAGTGCAGGGTTGCTTTCCTGTCCGCCGTTATTCCCGACCCCGAGTATGGAAGCCTTTGGACTGGCCCCATTCTGCGTCTCAGACGCCCATAATTTGCCGTCCCGGGGCGTGCTGCTTTCATCTTACTTAAGCAGCCGGGGCCCTCATGCAGCGGTCTACTGGTAGAATGTTGGCATAATACTTTTCAGCCTTTTTGTTTTTATTAAAATAGGGAAATACTTTCTGGGTGCAGCTATTGAATTCGGGTAAACTCTCCGCACCTTAAATTGGGGCGGGGTCCATTGTACTTGGGGGTGGGAAACCGAGCGACCCACCTTGTTTGAGAATAATTACGAGGCTACGTTGTCCTCTCTGCACGTACAGCCAGCAAATGGAGAAAAGTTTGGCTTTTGGTGGGATTCAAGAAGTCCTGGGTTTCGTTCAGTTACGTTACTTCATGGCTTTGTGACCTTCAACCAAAGTTTTTGTTTTTTTTTAACCAAGGTTTTCTTCCGTATAAAATTGAGGATGGAAAAGTTCGCTTAAAAAAATTGTGAGGATTAAGAGACGTCGGGTTGAATTAGAAGAGTCGAGAAGCAAAAGTGAGAACAGAGGCTTAGAGTTCTCTTCCGTTATGTTTGAGTACAGGCAGTATTTCATTTGGGTTAGAGCATCAGGTGCCTGAAGAAATGAGAAGTGAGATCGGAAGGGTAGAGTGGGGCCAGGTCTTAAAGGCCTGGTGCCCTTTGTTCTGGAGAGGGTTTAACACGACTCCCGCAGCTGCAGATTGTTTTTCAGTATGATGAGGTAATAGCTACCTTGGAGGGTTGCTGTAAGGCTTAAATAAGAAAGCATATGAGGAGCCAGGTAAATATATGTATACCTAGAGTACAGCCTTACAGATATTTGAGGTTATCTGTCCAGGAGACTGAGGGTATGGTGCTGCTACTGCTGGGAGAAACCAGGTACACTGAAGGAAGGATGGTGGAAGAAGAGAGACTAGGTTCGGGTTCGGGCTTAAATGAGTTGAGGACATCAGAATGACTAAATGGTGAATTTAGGAGTCGTTTGAAAGTTCAAGAGTCTTTACCCGGAAATGAAAGTTGTTTGATAGTTACCTAGAGAGCATAATTGAGGCCTAGATTTATTTCATTAGAAACAAGGTGTTAGATAAATTCTGGGGCCATGTTGGGGGGCTGGAAAAGCTATAGAATACGGTAGATTTTCAACAAACAAGATAACAAGATGGGGTGTTTACTTGGGCAAATTTGGAAACATCCCTGCACAGAGAATTGAAATTGGACAAGAGAGATATGCATATAGGAAGAAAAGGCCACTTACTTGTAAACCTGACCCTCACATCTTAAGTGAGGAGAGCTCCTGGAACAAAGGGACACTACTAGCCTGTCCAAGTCAGACAGAACCCTACAGACTGGTGGGAAAAAACTGTTGCCAGATGCATCTTCAGTGTAATTCATGGAGCCAGTTTTTTCTTTTGTTGATGATGTCAAAACAACACACACACAAGTAGTTGTGGTAGTTCTAGTACTATTGAGCACAAGTCATTTAACAGATAATACTGTGTACTACATAGTAGTTAAACTTCAAACACTTTTGAGGAGGTAATCAGCAAAAAAATTTTTATTTTTTGAATAGTGTGTCTTTCTAGAGGCTTCCTGTAGATGACTGTAAGGGTGTTCTTTTTTTTTTATTATTAGTTGGAGGCTAATTACTTTACAATATTGTAGTCGGTTTTGTCATACATTGACATAAATCAGCCATGGATTTACATGTATTCCCCATCCTGATCCCCCCCTCCCACCTCCCTCTCTACCCGATCCCTCTGGGTCTTCCCAGTGCACCAGGCCTGAGCATTTGTCTCATGCATCCGTAAGGGTGTTCTTAAAGTAAATTAGTCTGCTTGTAGAATCGTTGCCTTGTGGGTCCACTAAAATCACCTGAAAGGGTGTTATTGATGGCTGAATAAATAGGAAATGCAGCCCCCAATTATGAAATAATTAAGTAGAATATAATTTTTTAAACTATACCAAATATTTTCTCGTATGCTTTTTTTAAGATTATGTGTTGTTAACACAACCCACTGAAAGCATTATTCTAGTTGTGGAATGTACAAAAGCAAATAGGAACTCCTCCAGCTCAACTCCAGAAAAATAAATGACCCAATCAAAAAATGGGCCAAAGAACTGAACAGACATTTCTCCAAGGAAGACATACAGATGGCTAACAAACACATGAAAAGATGCTCAACATCACTCATTATCAGAGAAATGCAAATCAAAACCACAATGAGGTACCATTACACACCAGTCAGGATGGCTGCTATCCAAAAGTCTACAAGCAATAAATGCTGGAGAGGGTGTGGAGAAAAGGGAACCCTCTTACACTGTTGGTGGGAATGCAAACTAGTACAGCCACTATGGAAAACAGTGTGGAGATTTCTTAAAAAGCTGGAAATAGAACTGCCATATGACCCAGCAATCCCACTTCTGGGCATACACACCGAGGAAACCAGATCTGAAAGAGACACGTGCACCCCAATGTTCATCGCAGCACTGTTTATAATAGCCAGGACATGGAAGCAACCTAGATGCCCATCAGCAGACGAATGGATGAGGAAGCTGTGGTACATATACACCATGGAATATTACTCAGCCATTAAAAAGAATTCATTTGAATCAGTTCTAATGAGATGGATGAAACTGGAGCCCATTATACAGAGCGAAGTAAGCCAGAAACATAAAGACCATTACAGTATACTAACACATATATATGGAATTTAGAAAGATGGTAACGGTAACCCTATATGCAAAACAGAAAAAGAGACTCCGATGTATAGAACAGACTTGTGGACTCTGGGAGAAGGCGAAGGTGGGATGTTTCAAGAGAACAGCAACGGAACACGTATATTATCTAGGGTGAAACAGATCACCAGCCCAGGTTGGGTGCATGAGACAAGTGCTCGGGCCTGGTGCACTGGGAAGACCCAGAGGGATCGGGTGGAGAGGGAGGTGGGAGGGGGGACCGGGATGGGGAATACATGTAAATCCATGGCTAATTCATTTCAATGTATGACAAAAACCACTGCAATGATGTAAAGTAATTAGCCTCCAACTAATAAAAATAAATGAAAAAAAAAAAGCAAATACGGCTGTAGAATGTGCTAGGAGATCTAGCTTGTCCTGTTACTGCTGCTTGTTTTGTTTCAGAGAATGGGGAAGGTAATGCAGTCCTCATTCAGAGCACATGACTGAAGTTATATTGATATTTATAGGAGGATTAGGTGACTTCAAAATTTATTCTGCCATGTGCAGGATACAAATGCTATGTATAGTGACTTTAGCAACAAAAAGTGAAGTGTCATACAATTAAAGGAGTAAAATAATTATTTCTGTGTTCAGTAGATTTTTAGGTATAGAATTTTCTTTAGCAAACACAGTGAATTGTTATGTACCTTATTCTAATAAGGACAAAATGATTATTTGAGGGTAGAAGAAATGCTTTTGTCTTTAAAGAGTCTTTTTTTTTTCTTTCTATTTACAGCTGTTGCTGATGCTATTAGAACAAGCCTTGGACCAAAAGGAATGGATAAAATGGTAAAAGGTTCAATCATTCATTACTTGCTGAGGGCTGCTGTGCCTACTGAAAGCTCTCTATAGAGGGTTAAGATGTGCTGTTTAAAAAGTGAAGTGTTAGAAAGGCTTTGAGAGTTCAGAAAGAGATAATTACTTTGGGATGAACGGGACCTAGTTATAATTCATATTTTATGATGATTCTTTATAATATCTTTTGTATCCCTTTTTTAGTGTCTCAGTTCCTTCACTTTTAAGTAGGAAAAAACCCAGATATTTCACTTGTAAACTTGAACTATTACTGCATGTTCTTAAATCATTACACCAGGGTAAGGGAAAACAATTTGAAATTAAGTATTATGCAAACATAAGTTAACTTCTGTACAAGAAGTATTAAAATTAGTAGAGCTTTTAGGGTTTCACATTAATACTGGATAAAGAAAAAAATGTTTTTTTGAAATACAACCTTTAAAAAACTATACTTTGCAGATTCAAGATGGAAAAGGTGATGTGACCATTACAAATGATGGTGCCACCATTCTGAAACAAATGCAGGTGTTACATCCAGCAGCCAGAATGGTAAGTATAATTTTTAGGTGAGAGTTTTTTGGTTTTCTTTAAGTGTGTTATTTGATACTCAGTAAACAGTTAAATTTGTTCTATTTGATCACATGGTAAGTTTAAACATGGTGAAAGTTTTTCTTTTTTATACTAATCAGGCATATTTTTAGGATATGTTGTATGCCTAGCATTATGTTCTTCATTTAAAATCAGAATAAAACATGATTCTCCTTTTCCACAGCAACGTGCCACACATATAAGGAAGAGAGAAAAACACTGTACTGTTAAAAAAAAAATTTGTACCAATTATTAGTTCAGTGGTTGTTAGCTGAAAGTAGAATTTTAATTGTTTGCAAAGTCTTGTGTTTAAACTTTCCCTGATACTTATTTTTAAAAACAATTTTTAATTCAACTACAAATCATAATGGTGATTCTAAGTGAGGAGTCAAAATATCAGCAAAAACAAATTCCTTAGAAATTCCTGTTAAAAAAATCCCTTTTGATTAGGTAAAGGTGACTGAAAATGAGTCAGGTTGTGCTTCATGCAGAGTCAGTTTAGATAAACTTGGCCAAGGATTTCAAACTAACAATCTCCTCTCATCTGAATCCTGCACTTCAAAGCTTCTGAATCTACAGAGTGCCCCTAGTTCTTGAAGTAATGGGAAGAAAAAACAACCCGTAGTCTGAACTGTAAATCATAGCTTCTTATAAAGTGTGTAAGTAGAATTTTGCCTGCCACAAATATATAGGTCATCATTTTTAAATGAAACCAAGGTGGACAAAAAATCAGAAGAAAAGTATATTGACTCTTATAGTGCTGATAATCAAGGTCTATAAGTGAACATGATGGTGAATGTCACTGATGTTGTGGAGTTAGAGATGTTACTGGGTTCTCATGAACCAGTTCTTCCTGAGCAACTTGACATGTTCTGTTCACCCAGCTGGTGGAGCTGTCCAAGGCTCAGGATATAGAAGCAGGAGATGGCACCACATCAGTGGTCATTATTGCTGGCTCTCTCTTGGATTCCTGTACCAAGCTTCTTCAGAAAGGTGGGTAGGACATAAGACGTGCTTTATTACTGAATAAAGGCAAAACTTATTAAGTAATAAATATTGACAATTTAATTTGAAACAGCTAATTTTGCTGTTTATCATGTGGATTAAAAATTTTTTTTTTTTGCTTCTGGGTCTCCCCCCACCCCACCCCACCCCTGGCTTTCCTTCTTTCCTTTTGAATGGAACTTCATAAAATTTTGCTTTTGAAAAATGCCTGGTTGGTGGTGTTACAAAACAGGCTATAGATGAGAAATGTGAGAGAACTTAGGAAAGAAAGTAAGGATTCTTGTTTTGGTACATACTGCCTAAATGTAGTTGTGATTGCTCAGTCACTTATTATTATGTAGATTTATAGAATCTTTGTAAAGTAAAAAGTTTTTAGTCTTAAAACACATAATATGTAATTTATCTATTTCGAATTAAATAGAAATAAATTATTAGACATATTAGCAGTTAAAGTTATTCAAACCATTATTAAGAATAATTTAAAATTTGACTGCTTTGATGTTGCATTGAAGAAATTTTAAGTCATGTCAAGTATGAAGTTTATCTGTTATTATTAATTAACTACCCTTTCACAAATGACAGGGATTCATCCCACCATCATTTCTGAGTCATTCCAGAAGGCTTTGGAAAAAGGCATTGAAATCTTGACCGACATGTCTCGACCTGTGGAACTGAGTGACAGAGAAACTTTGTTAAATAGTGCGGCCACTTCATTGAACTCAAAGGTGAGACAAGCACAATGGGATCATTGTAAAAGTACAGTTAAGTTCATCAGGAACTGCAGCTCTTATTCTGTGGTTTTTGATGCTGTATAGTTCATAAATATTAACTCAGGAGTGGGTAGCTAAACTAATTTGCATAACTGAATTAGTTCAAATGAAACTAACTCAGGTCAAGGCTTTTAGGTAAGTTGATTTTACAGATGGGAAAAGAAAGTGAAGTTAACTAACTTATCCAAGACCCACTAATGAGAGGTAGAGATGAGACTTGAAGCCCAGATAGGGCTGCCCACCATGGTCCATCTCTTAACCATGTTGCTATTTTTTTTTATCAAATATAAAGCATTAATGTTATTTTCCGTTTCTCGGAAGTTCGTGTCACCTCTTCTCTGTTATGTTGTGTGTCACATGCCCACTCCATTCTTTTTCCTATTCATCAGTATTATTTGAATGTTAAGTGGAAATCTAGATCGTATTAGTGATATTAAGTAATAGTATTGATAAATGTCCCCAGAACTAATTTAGACAGAATATCATAATGGTTACAGGCATTGGTCATAGAGCCTAGACTGCTTGGGTTCAGTGCCAGCTCCACTTAATTAAGCTGTATGTTTTAGATTTTTCATCGGAAAACTGAGTATATGAATGTAAAGTGTTAAAGCTACTGCATGACATAAAATTCATGCTCAATATGTTCTAAGCATTACCTATTTTTATCAGCTCCTCAGCAATAGGGGTGCACATACATAACATCTGATCATAAATTCATTTTAAATACAAAACCTCAGCATAAAATTGTTATTCTGGATTTCCTGTTGAATTACTAGTAATCTAGTCAGTCCTGACTTAATAAAAGAGGAACACAAACATATATTTTTATATGGTGACAGTCAAACTTGAGTAAAAAAGATAGTTCATATGTAATGTTTTCTTACATGTACTCCATGTGTATGCTAAGTCACCTCAGTTGTGTCTGACCCTTTATGTTCTCCACCCCACCCAAAAAAGTAATTGAGATTACTTCTTGAATATCTTTATCATTAAAGTACTAGGACTTTCTCTTACAACGTTTTATGACACTAACTTTTTTTTCTTTTTAATACTAGGTTGTGTCTCAGTATTCAAGCCTCCTTTCTCCAATGAGTGTAGATGCGGTGATGAAAGTGATTGACCCAGCCACAGCTACTAGTGTAGATCTTAGAGATATTAAAATAGTTAAGAAGCTTGGGTAAGCATCTCTAGTTATAACTTTAATAAAAATTAATTTTCAAAGTAAACATAAGCTGTTTCTAAAATAAATGAAAAATGTAGATGAAAGTCATGTACGTTTAGTTGTTTTATTTTCATGACAGCTTATGTTAATGTGGAAATTTTAAGAATTAGTTCATATTCCCTAGTGATGGCAGACCAGTGGTGTGATCAGAGAGGTTCAGGAATGGGCCATTAATAAATACGAGTGAGGTTGAAGCACATTTTATCAGACTGATGATTTTTAATTTGTTTTTAGTCTATTAAACTTGGAGATTTCCCTCCCCTCTTAACTGTCTCTTCATTTTCTTTTTTCTTAGTGGGACAATTGATGACTGTGAGTTGGTGGAAGGTCTGGTTCTTACTCAGAAGGTAGCAAATTCTGGCATAACCAGAGTTGAAAAAGCTAAGATTGGGCTTATTCAGTTCTGCTTATCTGCTCCCAAAACAGATGTAAGTAAAACAAAATGAAGTTACTCCTTAGGTGTTTGACTAATAACAAAGATTTTTGCTGATTATTATAAAAATAGAAAATGCTGATATTAATACTAGTGATAGAAAGCTAGGATTTTAAAATAATTAGTAAAATCAAGACAAGTATAAAATATTGGATGCCACATGTGATAAATTCAGTTTTAGTTGGCTCTTTATTGAAATTGAGCGTTGACTTAAATGAAGACAAATAATGATAAGGATATGTATGAAACATTAAAACTCGGCTATGTGAAAGTGGGAGTGTAAGGGGGATTTCCAGATTCTTTGTCTTTATGTTTGCATAGTGGAACTTTTAAACCAGTTTGTTGTTTTTATTCCAAAAAGGTGATTTTTTTTTATTTAACATATTTCCATATCTCTTAGTGATAAGTACCATTCCCTAAAGGAGTGGCTGATCTTTGTCACCTGATTCAGGTTTGCTCTCATTTCATATTGTATTAGCATATAGGTTTCCTGTTGAGTCGTTTGTTTCCCAAGTTTTAACCCATATAAAAATCAGTGTTCTTTTATAGGTCTTAAATATAATAGTACTTGTCTTTAGTAATTGTTTTCATCATATCAATATTTTTTAACCATAGAATCAAAGGGACACAATTGAAGTTATTTCAGTAACATGTAAATTTTTATGAGGAGAATTGACATCCATGAAATAGGATAATCATTTTTACATTTAATGATTTCCAAAACATTATAAAAAATACCAGTAAAGTGTATAGATAAAAGTAAAAAACCTGAGTTATGTTTCAATGTATATTCACTTTTCTAGACTTTTTCTGTGTGTATCTATGTAATCTCTAGTTTGGTGTGATTTTCATTGGATTTATACTATGCATAATATTTTCATTAAAATTCTCATTTTTTTCTTAAGAACTCTTAAAATTCAAATTATTAATATGTTATTTATCTGAACAGATGGACAATCAAATAGTGGTTTCTGACTATGTTCAGATGGATCGAGTGCTAAGAGAAGAGAGAGCTTATATTCTAAATTTAGTGAAGCAAATTAAAAAAACAGGATGTAATGTTCTTCTCATACAGAAGTCTATTCTAAGGTATGGGGCATATTATTTTGTTCACCTGTTAATGATAATTGATTTTGAATCCCTTCTAGCAGTTTTTTAAGAAGCATTAGGGGTGGGTTAAACCACTAGAAATCTGGAACAGATCTGCATTTTAGAGCATTGTTGTATTCTGGTAAATGACCTAAAGTGAGTTCCCTTCTTGTTACGATAATTTAAGTGTGGGATATAGGTCCTTCTTGACCAAGATCCTTACTATCAAGTAAAAAGCTACCTAATATAGCTAAAATTTTAGAGGTATTTATTTAAAGGGCCATGCAATAGTTTGCCTTGAAATTTTAGAAGTTCTTTTGGGGGGCATGCTGGATAGTCCATGGATTGAAAGAATTCTCTAAAGTTTGAATTGATGCCTTCTTGAAGAAACTGATGTTTCAGTGTTTTCTTATAATAGGTAGACACATTCTCATGTACTCTATATGTTATGTCAGAAAGTATTGTGGATCTCTTGATACAGACACCTTGTTGAAGAGTTGGAATACCTGGTTCTAAATTCAAGTTACATAATAGCTAGTAACCGGAAGTAAATTGCTCTCAAAACTCAGTTTACTTACCTGTAAAACAAGGGTACTGATATCTACCCTTCAGTATCAGAGGGTTGTTGGGGTGCGGGGGTCATTCCAGATAGTTTGTGTAAAAGTGTAAATTTGTGGGTCTTAAACATAATTTAGCATCATAGTTAATTCTAAATTCATGAAGTATCAATTGTTAACTGTCAGAAGAATGATGACAATTACTTTTTGTGTGTTTTATAAGTAGTGTCATTGGGGTACATTTTAATTATCCTTTAGAAATCTTATTTAAAAACTTTGAGCTCATAAACTTTGTCAAGCTGTTTAAAGCATCTCCTTTCACAAATAAATAATTGTCCATTTAAACAATAGTAAAATTACGGAAAACCCTAAGGAATTAAATAGCAAAATTTCTGTTCTAAACCAGTATTGACGTAATCACTGTTTCTGTATTTTAGAGATGCTCTTAGTGATCTTGCATTACATTTCCTGAACAAAATGAAGATTATGGTGGTAAAGGATATTGAAAGAGAAGACATTGAATTCATTTGTAAGGTAAAATATTCCTAATATCTGTATATGTGAAAATGTTCACTAGTCAGACATCTGAGTTTGTGAACGTGACTATTATTCCTAGACGATTGGAACCAAACCAGTTGCTCATGTTGACCAGTTCACTGCTGACATGCTGGGATCTGCCGAATTAGCTGAGGAGGTCAGCTTAAATGGTTCTGGCAAACTGATCAAGGTAACTATTAGAATTAAGTTTCTAGTTGCTTGGGATTTTGGGGTGTTTTTTTTAATCCTTCAAATAACCTAATTCTGGAGTTTGTTTACTGAAGATTACAGGCTGTGCAAGCCCTGGAAAAACAGTTACAATTGTTGTTCGTGGTTCTAACAAATTGGTGATTGAAGAAGCCGAGCGTTCCATCCATGATGCTCTCTGCGTTATTCGCTGTTTAGTGAAGAAGAGGTAATGTTAAATTACTAAGTAATTTTTGATCATTAAAACTTCCATATTTTGATTATTAAGATTTTAAAGATTTTTAGTATTATTTAAACTTTAAAGATTATTAAGCTTTTAAATAAATTATTTTTTCTGTTGGATAAAATAAGCTAAAAATACATTTGTGAATTTCAGAGCACTTATTGCAGGAGGTGGTGCTCCAGAAATAGAGTTGGCCCTGCGGTTAACTGAATACTCACGAACATTGAGTGGTATGGAATCCTACTGCATTCGTGCTTTTGCAGATGCTATGGAAGTCATTCCATCTACACTAGCTGAAAACGCTGGCCTGAATCCCATTTCTACTGTAACAGAACTAAGAAACCGGCATGCCCAAGGAGAAAAAACTACAGGCATTAACGTCCGAAAGGTAATTTAGACTTTAGTTACTGCAGAAAATGTTGATTCTAATGTAAAATACTAAAAGCTTCATCATTGTCTATGGAATGAAAGGCTTTGTAATTAGAGTAACCTTCAATTTGGATACAAAACCTGCAGGTTATTTAATGTATGCTAGTAAGTGAAAATGAAGATGATGCCTTGAGTGAGAAATAGTATTTTGTTCATTAACCCTGCCATTTTATGATTGTACAACTTTAAATCTATGCTTCCGTTTTCTTGGTTGTAAAAACAGGGACTATTACTAGTTCCCTCATGGGCCTGTGAGGATTAAATGGATTACTAAACAAAGTTCTTAACAGAGATGCCTGGTGTGTAGTTAACCATTGCTGCTGTTGTGAGCACCAGCCTGGTGTAGTTACACAGGGTAAACACACAGAACAGTGGTGATTTCTCCTGTTGTGTTGTTTTAGTAATGTCTCCTTTTATTGAGAAGACAGGTAACATGTAATGGGAAAGAATGAACAATGCAAGGTGATTTTTTTTTTTTTTTTTAATGATAGAAGCACGTAGAATTCGAGGGCACTACCTGGTTAGGGAAAGTTTTATTAGGAAGCTCTAACTTTGGTTTGGTAAGGGAAAAAAAAGTTTAAGATGGGGAAGCAGTGATTTTCAGGTAAGAGGGACCAAAAAATTAATTCATTTTGTCTAGAGAGGAGGGGATGTGTTGATCATATAATGGACTTTAAGATTGGAAAGACTGGATAAAAAGCTAGAATGAAGAGTCTCTTGAGTTGTTGATGAATGGGTGGGGTGGCTGGGTGTTTGTTTTTTAATTCCAGTAGTTGGGAGTTTTTGTTTTATTGTGTGTGTTTAAACCAAGAGGATCAGGTGATGAAAAGAGTAATTTAAGGAGAGAAGAAAGGAGACAGGATTGCCTATTAAGACCAGCAGCAGTAATCCTAGGATAAAGGTGAGGGAATAGTGGCAGCAAGAGTCTAAGAGTGGAAAGTGAGAATGATGTAAAGACCAGGTAGACTAGACTTGGCCAAATTCAGAATTAGGAATCAGATGATTTAAAACCTCATAACTTGTTTCTTTAATTGAGATAGTTGATTTAGAGTGTTAGTTTTGAGGGCTTCCCTGGTGGCTCAGTGGTAAAGAATCTGCCTGCCAATGCAGGAAACATGGATTCAGTCCCTGGGTTGGGAAGATCCCCTGATGAAGGGAATGACAACCCACTCCAGTATTCTTGCCTGGAGAATCCCATGGACAGAGAAGCCTGACAGGCTACAGTCCATGGGGTCACAGTCAGACAAGACTGAGCAACTCAACAACAAGGTTCAGATATATAGCAAAAAAAAAACCCTTATAATTTTTAATAACTATCATCTGTTTAATTTTTGCCAGGAATTTTTAAATAAAAGATACAAGGAATTGTTTTGGAGTTCAGATTGGGAGAGTCCAGCATTAATTGAGTTTTTCCAGATTTTAGTTGAAAAACAGCCTCTAACTTAGGGAAATGCTTAGTAGAGAGGATCTGACTTGACTACAAGAAAACTAAGTTTGAAAGGCTTTGAGGTTTACTGGTAACAATGTAGTTGGTGATGTGTATTGTTATAAACACTAACAGCAGCTTGTACTGGCTTGCAGGGTGGCATTTCCAACATATTGGAGGAACTGGTTGTCCAGCCTCTGCTGGTGTCAGTCAGTGCGCTGACTCTGGCAACGGAAACTGTCCGGAGCATCCTGAAAATTGATGATGTGGTAAGTATATACAGGCTGTGAATTTCCTACAAGGGCAGAAAGGCATATTTTTGAGGAGTTGGGGTGGGGGCAGTAAATGTTAGTTTGCCAGTCATCAGGGTGAAAACAGTTCATACTTCTAGTATTTTCTCACCTATAAAAATAAGGAAGTTTGGATAACCACTGTAAACATCTTCCATCCTTAAAATTGTGTCCTTACAGGTTTTGAAATTTTTCTCTTTTCAGGTAAACACTCGGTAATCTGGTGAACAATGGCTGACTGGCACAGTCATGGCCACTAATGGTGCAGCTGGAGTGAAAGAGCACCTTGGCATTCCTTGTTGTTTTGAAGATTGTTTCTTTTATGAATTTCTGGTCCTGGTCTTCCAGTTGGCATTTGCTTGAAATTGTATTGACACAGTTTAATGAAAATATTAAATATATGGTTTCAAAAAGCAGGTTAATTTATTGCTGTCCACTCTGCATTATTCCCCACTCTCTCCCAACATTCTGTTATTTCTGATTCACTTGAGAAATCTGTGTGAGGAGGGAAAAAAGGAGTTAACATTTGTCTGTTAAATTCTTAAGGACTTAATGCTGGGTACTTTTAAGTTTTATGTTAGGTTGTGGTTTTTGTTGTTCTCCTTTTTGGCTGCGTGGCATGTGGGATCTTACTTCCCCGACCAGGGATGAAACCCACACCCCCTTGCATGGGCAGCACAGAATCTTAAACACTGGACTGCCAGGGAAGTCTCCAGTTTTGTGTTTTTTAATAGAAATATTGAGAAGGAATAATGGCCTGATATGCTCATCACCCTGATAAACCCCCATTTTCACTAATATATATGCTGTTTGAAAAGTTAACAGTATAGAAAGAGTGAAAAATGAATGTCTTTCTCATGCTTACCCCTTTTTCCAAGAACAACCACTGTTGTGTTAATTGGGATTCCTTCTAAAAATAAAAATATGCATATATGTAACAAATTTTGTTTGTATAAATCTTTTCTCAGTGGTTTAAGAGTACTATAAAATTTAACTAGTTCTGTCCTTGTTTTAGTCACCATCTAGTCAACTTACATAGTCAACACCATCTAGTCTATATATAGCTTAGTGGTCTTTTTTTAAACTTGTCAGGCACTCCTTTGTAAATGCTTTCATGGCTTCTGATAGCCTTTGGATAAAGGCCAGACCTTTAAGGTGAATCACAAATTGAGCCTTACATAATTCATGATTACTTTCACCATCTTTTGTATTATATATATATATATATGAAAGCAGTGGATGGAGGGGGGGTACTCCTAAAGATTTTGGAGAACTTCAGCCAATCAGTATGAAGTTCCTTTGTATCTGACAACTCCAGTAGTTAATTAAAATGATTAATCTGGTAAGTGGTAAATTCAGATAAGTCTTTGGATAGTCTGGAATTTAATAGTTCAGTATTTCTCTTTTTAATGGGTATTAGGAGCTTGCTGTTGGAAAAGAATCATCTTACAGCTCCAATAAAATAATTTACTTATAACATAAAAACTTTTAAGTCAAAATACTGTAGCCAGAATTATTCATATTAGAACTTTAAAGAGTTACTATGTGTGTCTGTGTCTTAGGCTACACCTGTGTATCTAAATATGTTTATATTTAAAATTTTGTAAAAGGAATGCTAACAAGACAGATGTTAGTCATTAAGTTTGATATAAATTAAGCCACTACTTAGGGTTTGATTGGGTTTTACAAGTTTATAAAATTTGTAAGTTAATGTTTGGGAAGCACTGGTGCTTAATCACTGAAAGGCCAAATAACAAAACTCAAAAATAGTGGTCTGATAGAGTTAAATAATTCTAAAGCAATGAAAGGAAAATTATCCTGTTAAATATTTAAGACGTCCGCTTTTAAATAGGAAGGATGACTGTCCTAATGAGAGAAAGGTTTTGCATTCTTTCTTCCTCTTGAGTACTATTTATTTTTTCACTCTCATTTTCTTTTATTTTTTTAGCCACACCCCATGGCTTGTGGGATCTTAATTGCCTGACCAGGGAACTCAGGCCCATAGCAGTGAAATCGCTGAGTCCTAACTACTTGACAGCCAGGGAATTCCCACCCTAGGTTTTCATTAAAAAACAATTCACAGAACAGTATGAACACCTATACCCTCCAACTATTGACATTTTGCCATAGAAGACAGTTCAATAATATGATATATCCCTAAAATCTTGATACACAAAATTGTGCAATAGAAACCACAGGGCTTAGAGAAGAAATGTGGTTGGAGACAACCCCGAGACTTCATCAACACAAAAGGAACCTGACCAAATAGTTTCACAAACAGTAAATGGTTAAGAATTACATTTACATATGCCACTTGAAAAACACCAGAAAATTGAAGTGGCTGTTGTAGCTAATGTCATTGCAAAGTAGAAGGAGGGTTATATGAAACCTAGGTTGCAACACTGGATGTGTTGAGTTTGGCTTATAAAAGTTAACGTCTCAGGTCTTTGAGGTGTGTGTGAACTTTCGTGTGTCATGGGGCAGTTTGATTCAGATGGATGCATTTTTGTGTATTCACATCTTTCTTGAAATCAAGCAAATGTGAAAAACATGTTGCTGAAGTTGTTCACTTCCCCACTCTAAAATTTCTTGTTTTGATGGTTTTGACTATAATGTATTAGGTGTGGACCCCTTTTTAAGTTTATTGAGCTTTTTAAAGGTACAGAGTAATAGTACCATCAATACTGCTGAATTAAGATAGGGATCAAAGGTTCAGTTAGATACCCTGAGTGGCTAGAAGTTGTAGGACAGAGTAATAGAAAACGAAGCTTTACAGAAACAGTTACCAGAGACGTGTAGAGGTGTAGTCAAGTCTTTGGCTGAGTGTTTCTGTAAACACTCAGTAAAACTATATAGAGTTCAGAGAAAAACCAGTGAAAAGTAGTAGACTGAATTTACGGTGGCCTTGGAATAGTTTAAATTCTTATTAGATTGGAGAAACCTTGTAATAAGGAATGAGTAGAGCCTTCAGAAGAGTACAGCCTTAATAGCAAGACTGAATTAGCCATAAAGATCACTCTGGACTCTTCACAACACAGGATTTCTCTAAAGGATCAAACCAATCCCAAGCAACATCTGTATCTGACCAAAGCTTAAAATTCTTAAAGGATATAATAGTAACAAAATTCAGTGTCTGGCATTCAACAAAAAAATCACTGTGAATGGATACAGAAGATGTAGTATATATACAATGTGATACTACTTGACCATTTGCTAAGTGAAATAAGGGACAAATACTGTATGATATCACTTATATGTGGAATACAACAAACTAGTGAGTATCACAAAAAATTTAGAATAATGGTTACCAGTGGCGAGAGAAAGAAGGAGAGCAGTATAGGGGTGGGTAAGTAAGAGATATAAATTATTAGGTATAAAATAAGATACATTGTACAACAGCAATATAGCCAATATTTTATAATAACTATGTGGTGTAACCTTTAAAAATTGTGAATCATTATATTGTACACAGGTAACATTGGATAGCAACTGCACTTCAGTTTTTAAAAGGGCATCAAAATGAAAAATCATGCAAGTAAAAGCACAGTAGAGAGTAAAGACTGATAGTGAAAGACTGAAGGCTTTTTTGCTATAAAAAAAAAAAAAGAAGCAGCAGCCAAGGATGCGCACTCTACCACCCCTATTCAACATAGTACTGGAAGTTCTAGCCAGAGCAGTTAGGCAAGAAGAATTAGAGGCATGCAAATTGGAATGGAAGAGGTAAAATTGCCTCTGCAGATACAATCTTATATGTAAAAAGTCCCAAAAATTCAACACACAAGCTGTTAACGACTAATGAATGAATTCAGCAAAGTAACAAGATACAAAATCAACACACAAAAGTCATTTGCATTTTTATACAATAACTGAACAATCTGAAAAAAATTACAGAATTCCATTATAGCATAAAAAAAATACTTAGAAATTAACCAAGAAGGTGAAAAATTTGCTCAGTGAAAACTACAAAACACTGTTGAAGACAAATCGAAACAGATCCTATGTTTATGCATTAAAAAACTTACTGTTGTTAAAGTGTCACTATATCCAAAGTGATGCATATAATCCCTTATCAAAATACCAATGGCATTTTTTTTCACAGAGCTAGAATAATCCTAACATTTGTATGGAACTACAAAAGATGTCCAAAGCACTGTTAAGAAGAATAAAACTGAAGGTATTATGCACCCTGATTCCAAGCTATGCTATAAGCTACAGTAATCAAAACAGTGTGGCACTGACATGAAGACACACATTTAGACCAATGGAATAGAATAGAGAGCCCAGAAATAAACCCTCATATGTATGGTCAAATGAGTTTTGACACGGGAGCCAAGGCCACTCAATGTGGAAAGTTCAGTCTTCAGCAAACAGAACTGGGAAAACTGGATATCTACATGCAAAAGAACTATATGGGACCCTTACTTAACACACAAAAATTATCTGTAAGTAGATCAAAGACCTAAATTAAGACCTAAAACAATAACACTTAGACGAAAACACGGAACAAATGCTTCACAACATTAGATTTGGCAATCACTTCTTAGATTTGACATAAAAGGCACAGATAACAAAAGAAAAAGACAAATTGGACTTCATGATATTTTAAAATCCTGTGCATCAAAGACACTATCAATGGTAAAAAGCAACCCACAGGGAGAAAATATCTACAAATCCCATATTTGATAAGGGATTACTACCTAGAATATAAGTCGGACACCACTGAGCGACTAACACCTTCACTTTTTCAATTTTTTCACCTGGAATGTCTAGAAAGAATTACCAAAACTCAACAAAGCAACACAAGTTAAAAATGTGCTAAGAACTTAAATAGACATTTCTCCTAATAAGATATATAAATGTCCAATAAGCCCATGAAAAGATGCTCAACAGCACTAATCATTAGGGAAATGCAGATCAAAACTACAAGATAACACCTCCTACCCTTTCAGATGGCTGCTATCAGAAAAGAAAACAGGAAT